AACATAACCATTACAGAAACAAGGGGTTTATTTTGCAATTTGAAAGCTAACAACTACAGCAATACGTGCAGTTAGAAATGCTGAAAAAATCATTTTTCAGCAGAATTTTGGAAACTCGGGTGAACTTCTATATGGCTCACTCTGACATGGCAATATGTCATGTTTTTTTTACACACAGTCTGAAAAAAAAAAAAAAATCTAACGACTTAACCACCTTGCCACAAGTGCTAATGAATGATTCTTCACTTCCTGGATAGGAACAAGTGAGGCTGTGCAGCACAGAGAGGCCTGAAGCACTTTTTAATCTGGTCACATGGATACATGAAGCACACCTATTAGCACCACATGCCTTCCTGATTATATTACGAATTTACCATTCTGCCTTCATATAAACATCACTCATGCAACTCACATGCCACTGCTGAGTCAGTCTCGAAAATTCTTCACTTTTTAGACTTCAAAAGCTAGATAAAGACTATAATTAAAACTTGAAAAAACTAGCATTTTAAAATCAGCATACATCTTAAAGGTTGAGAAGGCCTCCATTTTAAACCAGATTAAAAAGATTCAGGTTAGATCCTGCATTTTTTACGTCTAGATTTCTTATTTTTCAAGTTGTTAGTTACACACAGCCCCATTTCACTCAGTAAAGTTAACAAACTTGACAATCTGAAGCATAAAAAGGTTTATTACTGAAAAACCTTTCTGAAATGTCTGGTTTCAAAACTATCCTTCTATTAAATAGGAACAGAATAATAACATTTCTAGAAGTATTCTGCAAGTCTAATGTGGTTAAGATAACTCAAATTTTCCTTGAGTATTACTGAGTATTCCTTGAGTCAGTCCCCCACATTAAGTGGTTCTGTTGGTGAATAACAAATATGAAAAAAGCCCCCCCCAAAAAAAAAACCAAACAAGAAAAGAAAAGAAAGCCTTACAAGTTACATGAAAATTGCCCACTCTGTGACAAAGATGGACATTAATTAGTGCTGTATCTGAGGGAAAGATCACTACATAAGATCTAAAGACAACCTGTTACACTTGGCCTACCAGCAAGTCAATCAGCACTCAGGTATCAGTCAGGAAAACAGCCGACACCTGCAGCTAAAACGTTCTTTTCCAGTGCTCCTTGCCCAGTCAGTAAGAGGAGGGAGCAAAGGATAAATTGCTAAGGAGAGTAAAGATGATGCAAGAACAGAAAACCAGGGATAACTTCCAGGTGAGAGTACAAAGACATAAGACAAACGTACAAGGGTGAAGAAAAACCCTTCATAAAGCTTTACTACTTATATTTCTGATCAACAACTTCTTAAAATTGCAAGATCTACCACTGGTCTCTAAATCAAACAAAATCTGATTATATTAATTCAGATTTAAATATACTTCCATAATAAACCTTCCAGGAAACAAGAATTCAATTATTTCAGTAATCTAACACTAAAGTGTTTGTAAGAAAATATCCCAGTTCAGCAATAACACATCAGTGAGCTGCAGATGCATCTTCACTGCATTCACCTCAGCTGATTTATACCCAAATCCTGCATCTGCTTAGGTCCAGCTTCGGTACCTGTGGCCCAATGCAAAACTCAAGTACTCTGTTTATAAGTTAACTGATCCATTATTTCTTCTTTTAAAACTCCTATCAAATGTTTCTCAGCATTCCAGTAAGACTAGCAGCTCCAAAGGACCCTGGAGGGACACATCCATCCTTTTCAGCACATGTCTCAAATTAGGCAAAGGCACAAGTAAATGACCAGCATTCACATGCTGATAATAGTCTTTGTTCTAACTGTAAATCCAGAGGATAACTAGACTTGAATGCAGACTATTATTACTCAGCCAGCTTGCTCAGAAAGTCCTACACAAACTTCTGCACGGTAGTGGGAACTTAGCACAATTCCCAGGGAAAAAAAACCGGAATGGCTACAGCTCAACGAGGTACCTACCAGTCCTGGAGCTACTGCACTGAACTCTCTCGCTGAGCTGAAAATCCCACCTGGTTATTTATCCCAGGTATTGCTCTGGGGTTTGCTTTTTTGTTTCTGGGGTTTTTTTGACAGGGAAGATAAGCATGTTTTTAAAAAGTACAAAGTCTGCGTGCATGGAAACGGAATGTTAAAATTCACTCTAAATTTCAGGGTGTTGTCGTTCACCATTATATTTGTTTTTCATGTTCTTATAAATACTTACAAATTTCCTACAGTAATGCCTCAAATTATTTATTCTATTAGCAGATACTCTTAAAATACATTAAAATGTTAATAATAGAAGTTGCTGAACAGAAGTTAGATTTTGATCATATGCAAGATTTTCCCCTTCAGCTGTTTTATTTGTATTTTCTACTTGATACCGCTAAGCCAAAAATCAGAGATAACACACTGTGGAGAACGACAAAGATCATACATAGGGAAATGGGAATTTGATCACTCATGGAATTCAGGCCCTCTTACCACACCCACTTATTCATTCAAATTTTCTAAAGAGGAAACGAGAAAAAAAATCCCAAGCCCAGGGGCATGATCTCAGTGCTACCAAACCTGCCTATAACAGGAGAGTCTTTACCAAGTACACCCCTCCAGCAGCTTCCTCCTGCTAAACCCACAGACTGCAAAGTCAAGCCTGTCAGTTCCATCTCCTTCCTTTTCTCTCTCTTCCCTCCTCCAGGTAATCTTACTGTACAACACTCTGAGATTCATGACGCCAAGTTCCTCGGGACTTCAGAGACAGAGGTAGTCAGCAAAGGCAATGAAGTACTGGACAATAAATGGTTTCATATAAAACATCACTTAACAGATAAAATATCATTCTCTTAATAGTTACAGAACTTCCATTTTAATGCAGAGGTGACCAAACCAATGAATGATGAATTGTTTCAGGATTTCAATATCTATTATCATAAACTTGTACCCCCAGCTTTGAGACTAAACTGTTCCCAGATCTTCTCTGATATTTCACCATCCCAACTCACTCTTAAGCTCTTCAGCACATCCCTTACCTTTTACAACACTCTGTCTGATCATCTGAAAGGCACAGGATTATGCTGTGGCTGCCTTCCAAGCAGCAGCAATCATTTGGATTACTATGTCAAGCAAGAGACTTGCTGGACTACATGTGACAAAAATAATAAAGCATTCTAACACACTGCAGCAAAGAGTGCACAGCAAAGGAAATTTTCCATTCCCGGGAATAACAAATGGCACTCTTGGTAGCATTGCTCTTTTCCTAACCAACTTAACAAGCAGGCTTTGAAATTACAGCACAAAAATGCCCTCTCGGCACCCCAAGTTCAAGACAAAACTTTGCAAAGATTAAAAACAAGGCACAGTCCTCATTTAAACCACTAAACACGAGTCCCACTCCTGCAACTGAGTCCCCGTCGATGGTGCAGGGAAGGAGGAACGAAGGGCACACACGTGGATTTAACGGTGTGACTACAGCAAGAGAACCACGAGAACAATGACAGAGAAAGAAAGTAGCACAGCAGCTCTGAGTGCACAAGGCACAGTGACACTACTTCCAGAAAACCCCTGTGAGTTATTTCCGTTATTTCCTCAACCCACAAACTGACACACGCTTGGATAAGATCAGGGTGAGAGCCAGACTTTAATTCCACGAAAAATGAGAAACTACTATCTTAAAATACTGTCTTAAAATGCCTTTATGTACCTGTTGTTTTTCCAGAAGTCTACTCCCATACTCAAGTTCACATAAAATCTCAGCTTCTGAACAACAAACAAACCCCAACATCCACACCCCTTGTCCATCTTGCACAAGTTTGGAAGAAAGAAAATGTGACTTCAACGAGTCTCAAAAGTCAGATGGAAACCAAAGAACTGAATTTTTTTCTGTCTTCTTCAGACTTTTAGGTCAATTACACGATTTTGGGGAACTGACTCACACGGGGTTTTGTTTGGGTGGTTTTAAGCCTCGAGGTCAGATCTAGTCATGCCCCACTTCTGAAATATGGGTATTTGTGTAGTTACACAGATTTTGATCTGACATATATTCAAAGTACGTTTCTGGACCAAACCACATAATTCTTCACACTTAACAACGAAATTATCTTAAGAAAGTACTAACAAAACTGTAATTGTTACTTAAATGTAACTCTAGCAGGGAAGTCTGATACTTTTTTTGCTAAACACACGGAAGAATTGTAGAAGTTTCTTAAACTATTTGAAAGGACTAATTAGTAAAGGGACGTACAGCACTGTAAGGTTGTTATTATGTCTATTTTCCATCCTATTTTCAGCTTTTCAATTAAACTGTTGCATACAACATCCAAGAAAGCTATTACACAAGCCATGTTCTTTGAAATGCTTGACTTAGGAGGCTGAAACAGACCTGAAAGGTGGAATATCCAACCATGTGTGAGAATTTGGTGGTGTCTTTCCACAGGAACCCAAGCTAAAAATCTGGGTAATATGAGAAGTGCAGCTTTAACACAAAAAACCCTCAAGAACTAATCTTTACATTTACTATTTCCGAACTCGCCCAAAGATGACTTTGAGCCTCCAAAGCCTCGCTTGGTGCTGTGCGTGACTATTACTTGTGCACACGTAACACAGAAGGGCTGGTCTCCTTTTGATTTTAGCAAACTAGATTTTTTTTTTCCCCCTTATGCTTTAAGATGTGACCATCGGCTTTCTGCCTCTAGAGCAGAGCCCCTGTTGCGGGCACAGGTAGAACCGCATCCACAGAACGCATTTCCCATCCCGAAGCCTCTGTACACCCCACATACGCCAGGACACAGCCCTGAGGAACCCCGAAAGCACCGTCTGAAAAAGACCCGCAGGGAAGAGGCGGCGGGAGGAGGCAGCGCCCGGCGGGGCCGCCCGGGGCTCTCGGGGCCGGGGGAGCGCCCCCTCCTCCCCGGGCAGGGCCGGGCTGTGCCGGGGGGGGGGCCGGGGAGCAGGGGCGGGGGCCCGGCACAACTTGGCCGGAGAAACCTGTGGCTGCCGCGACACCCCCGCGGGAGGGGAAGGGCGCCGGGCACTGACCTGTCCTCCGAGTCCATGCGGCTGAGGGGCTCCCCGTCCGAGGACATCTCCAGGCTGCCCCGCCGCCCGCCCGACGTGGCGCTGCCGCAGCTGCTGCCGCCGCCCGTGCCGGGGCCGGTGCCGTACCCCTCGTCGCCGCCGCTGGACACGCTGCTGGAGGAGCTGGAGCCGCCGCCGCCGCGGCCCGGCCCGTCCCCCTGGCTGCCCCGGGGGCCCTTGGGCTCCTCCTTGGCGTCGGCCTCGCTGCCGCCGCCGGGGCTCGGCGAGCGGGTCTCGTCGCTGCAGCAGCCGCTGCTCGTGCTGCTGCTGCTGCTGCCCACCAGGCTGCTCTCCTCCTCCTCGCCGCCCTCCTCCTCCTCCTCCTCCTCCTCCTCTTCCTCCTCCTCCTCCTCGTCCTCGTCCTCCCCGTCCCCGGCCTGGCTGGCGCTCTCCGGGCTGGGCTCCGACATGCTCTCCGCCTCGCCGTTCAGCAGCAGCAGCGGCTCCGGCTCCGCCGCGGCCGACGACGAGGGCGGCGGCGAGGACGAGGACCCAGCCGCGCCGGCGGCGGCGGCCGCAGCCACCTCCACCGGCACCTCCACGGCCGTCTCCGCCTCCTCCTCCCCGGCGCCGGGCGCCGCCTGCCCGGGAAGGCGCCGCGGCGGCTCCGCCATGTCGCTGCAGCGAGCGGCCGCCATGGCGCCTGCGAGTCGCTCCGCGCGCGGCGGGGGCGTGCGCGCGCGAGAGCCCCGTGTGCGCGCCCGCGCGCGGCCCCCGGTGCGCGCTCCCGCGCCCTCCCTCGCGCACCCGCAACGCCCGGGGAGGGGCGGGGCGGGGCAGGGAGGGGGCGGGGCCCGGCTCGTGCCGCCGCTGCCGCACGCGCTACGGAGCGCGCCCGGGGACAAACAACGCGCGGAGGGCGGAGCGGCGGCCGCCGCCCCCGGCACGGGGAAGGGGGGGGGCAGAGTGGCGGAGGGAACACACGGGGCTGGAATCCTCAGGGATCCCGGCTGGGATTGCCAGGGATCTCGGCTTGAGTAGCCCAAGGATCCCGGCTGGAATCCCCCGGGGATCTCGGCTGGAATCCCCCAGGGATCCCGGCTTGAATTCCCAGGGATCTCGGCTTGAGTAGCCCAAGGATCCCGGCTGGAATCCCCCGGGGATCCCAGCCTGAAACCCCCGGGCATCCTGGCCTGAATCCTCAGGGATCTTGGCTTGAATCCCCCAGGGATCCCGGCCTCAATCTCCGGGGGATCCCGGAGCGAACCCTCAGGGACCCCGGCGACCCGCTGGAATCGCGTTATTCCCATTGACCGCCCCGGGGGGAAGCGGGAATCCCGCGGGACGAGGCGTTCCCGGTCCCACTTCAGGACAAACCCCATAGCGTCCCACAGCAGGGCATGAGCATTCCCGGCTGCAATTCCCGGGAGCTGGGCGGGCTCAGGCTGCCGGAGGCAGCGGGCAGAGGGTCCGGGAGAAGCCCCGTGGAAGTGCCGGCCCCGCCATTGCGGAGCCCCGCGCTCCCCTCACGGCAGTGAGGGGGAAAGAGGGAACAGGGAACCGAGAACAGGAGCTGCAGGCTCACGGTGGGAAACTACTGGGGGAATGGCCACGGGGAATGCGCTGGCTGAGGCACAGAGGAGCCAGGAAAAGGGTTTCCGTGATAGTGATGAACAGGAATGGGGAGAGCGGCCGCGCTGCGCCGTGAGGGGAGAGAATAAACTCGGACACACCGGCCCTAAACATCCCCTGGCAGAGCAGGGGCTCGCTGGGTACCGGGCACAGGCTGTGTGACCAAAGGGAAGGCGAAACATCACAGAGTCATGGAATTCCAGCCGCCCTGCCACGGGCACGGACACCTTCCACTAGACCAGGTCGCTCCAAGCCCCGTCCAACCTGGCCTTGAACACTTCCAGGGATGGGACATCCACAGCTTCTCTGGGCAAGCTGTGCCTCACCACCCTCACAGTAAAGAATTTCTTCTTAATATCCAATCTAAGTGATTGAATTACTTCATTTAAACAAAATTAAAGCCATAGAGTTTAATGTACTAAAGCTGTGGAAATCTGTTAATTTTTTTTCTTCTCGAACCTAAACTCACTTCTGGAGACAATGGGTTAGTAAAGATGTTGAGCTGGGAATTGTGCCATGTGAAAAGGAAGAAACCATCAGTGTATGTGTAGAAGGGGAAAGGTGAAGGATAGCTCAACAGAATGCCTGTCAGTCACATACAAGGCTTCAGGACAGAGTTTGAAAATTAATTTTAATAATAATAATGTAAAACAGGATAAAGTTTACAAAAGATAGATCATGCCAGACTAATGTGACAGGCCTTTTGACAAGAGCCTTGTGTACCCAGGCATCAAGAAAGCGTTTGATAAAGTGTCATGTGGAAGTGATTAGAAAAAGTTTATAGGATGGGGATTTGCAGTAGAACAGGAAGATGAGTAGAATCTGATCACAGAGATAAAATCAAGTAATTTGGCAAATTATTGGAGAGACGAAGAGGGCAATTGAAAGCATAAAATGCTATTCCACGTGAATTGTAAATGTCATTCATCTGTCAGTCTTTACCCAACTCTTACAGAGCTTGCTGCATTTAAAACCAAAATCATGAAGCTGTGGTAGTTTAGTTTAAAAACAAACTACAAAACACAGAACCACAACTCAGTCCAGAAAAACATCGTGCCTTCTGCACACTGGGAAGAACATGACCAATTCAAGTTCCAGCAGGCATCTCTGGCTTATCCCCAGAGATCCTAGATTCCAGGAGAAGTTAACCGTGTGGGATTAAGATCTGGAAAAGGTGCTCCTACGACCTGGATTTGCATAGCTGGAGATGGCTCCCAGCCCATCAGCACACGTAGTAGTTGTTTTCAGCAACGAGAACAACCCGTGGTGTAGCAGCATCAAAATAGATGCCACAGCACTCTGAAAGAGCAACAAAGGGACACGATTGGGTTGATCTTCTAAATCAAACCAATGATATCTTTAACCTGCAGAGGGGCAAAAAAACTTTGGAAACCGACAACGGCAAAAAAATGTTAAGTTTCTCAGATTTCTAGAAGCCACCCTCAGCTAGAAAGTGGAAGTGGTAAGAATGTTTTTTAAAAAAATAGAGGGGGGAAAATAGGGCAAGAACAGCTGTAATGCTGTTTCATCTGTGTAAGATATGGAAAGCAGGTCTACTAACTCCACCAAAATAGTCACCAAATGCTGAGCTTCTGCATCCTGGCTTGCCTTTCCTCCCGGGAACAGTGTGTGCTGTTCCGCCGAGGAAGGTGCGGGGCTCCCGGAGGGTGTTGCTGTCACTGCTCTAATCGAACATGAAGCGTCACGTTTCGAAAACAAACGACCCCCTTTGATTCAGTCAGAAAACGGCAGTAGCTGAAAAAATTCCTATGTCTCTTCTACCCACTGATGCCCTTCTCTGCTGTAGCGAGGGGCAGAATCAGAGAGGTATCAAGTAATGAGAAACCAAAAATACATAAAGGACTTGGGTAAAAGGCGCCTTCCACAAACTATGAGATGAAAGGGGGGGAAGTTATCACAAAGAACTCAATGTACCCTAGTGTAACTTGCCCAGATTCACTGCGGTGTGTGCTCACAAGCCGATCATTGCCCTTTCCCACCCCCCACCGCCCTCCCACGTCTCTCTCGGTTTTTAAGGCGGTGTGAGCTCGCAAAGGCTCCCCGTGTTCGCGGACCGAGAGGCGAGCAGGGCGATTCGGACCTCCCACTTCCCGCTCTCCTAAGCAGGGCGGTAGGGACGCCAGCTCATTAGGTAATTTGTGTATTCAGAGAGGGTCAGGCAAGGAAACCTCAGGACATTTCCACTGCCTAATGGAAATCCCTTGGCATTAAAGCAAGAGATCAGTACCAAAGGGGTCACTGCTGCAGCAGGCAGTCAGCTAACAAATACTCTATGATAATATCTTGATGTCCTGCTCTCAGGTTTTCAAAATCACAAAATTTTGTGTCCAGGCTTGGTCCTTGAGTGCTGTACAGTCGTAATCAAGTGCAAGCAGCAATGATTACTGGTTACTGAGCTTTCTCTGTACAAACCTACCAAAGCTAAACCTTCTTTTTTTTTGCCAAGGTTTTTTTCACTTTTCAAAACTCTCCTCAAATGAGGAGATCTGTCAGAGAACAGGTGAGTCTAGAACTTGCAAAAGCATCTATATCGTTTGCATTTGAATGGCTTGATAAAAGCTCAAAGCAGAAGACCCGCTGTTAGGAAACCCTTTGGAAAAAAACCCAAACGTCCACTTGAGCTTTGTGGATGAATGTTACTCTGCTGTTCACACAAAGAGTTTCTGATATACTCAGTCTAGCTTGGTATGATCATCTTACAACAGGAACGATGCTTTAAAGCTCAGATATTTGTGTTGAGGAATCAACAAAGTACAAAATTAAAAAAAAAAAAGTCAGTAGATAAACCAGAAGAAAACTGTTCACAGGAAAAGATTCCAAGCAGAACCATTACCCACCAGTGCAAGAACAACCAAGCTGCAGACACAGCAAGCAGGGAGAAGAAATTGAGATTTTTATTCTCTTACCTCAGGAACACCAGGGTGTAGGGCATTCACACTGACAGCAGAATCAATAACAAACTCCAAGGAAGTAGTTTCGTCTTTTCTTAAGTCACAACAACTTTGATGTTTTGTGGGGTTTTCTTCAAGGACAGTTAGGTGAGATCACCAGAAGATTTTGTATGTGTAAGGCAGTTTTCTTGAGGTTTTTGCCCTAACTTTGATTGGCACACTACTATGATGTATAGTATGCAAGTAAAACACTTCAAAACAGCAAGAAAGTCCTATAAAGAGAGAAGAAAAAATAAACAGGTCTAAGGTACAGTAGAGGTGACATCCTGTCCTGTACTTGCTTGGATACCAGGGGAGATTCTGTAAAACTAAGCCTTTGGTCACTGAGCTCCCTTCTCCAGCCCCTGCCTCCACATGCATGTCTTAAGCACTGCAGGAAATTCCTGCTGCCTGAACCTTATGACTCACCTTGCTCACAGTATTCTGCCTGCTCAGCAGCCTCTGTAAACTGCACCCTTCCCTTCTTTCTGCCCCACCCTTCCCCATCCAAATTCAAGGTCTGGAGGAAGAGGCTGCACTCTCTCATTGCTTCAAGTAGGCGCCCAGCGCTGGGTTCTCACCCTTCCCTTCAGACTGGACTGAAACTGCCTCACGCTGCAATTCTGACCCCACCCTCTCCTGGAGCACCCAGTTAATTCCCCCTTTAAACTCAGCTTCCACGGTCTTTTCAGGGCTGCCTTTAATCTTGCCCTATACGGTTTGCTTGGGTACCACGACTGTAAGAATCCCCAGCCGTGCTTAGGTTGGGTCAAACCAAAAGAAGGGAATGAATGTTGGGCTCGGTCCCTCTTCTCTCCCGGTGAGGCGAGGAGCCCTCGCTGGGGCTGTGCACTGGCTTTGCAAAGCACTTAGCAGCAAAGTGAATTCTGGATGCTGCTCAGGACCTTCTTCCCCCTCTACCCTGCTCCTGCTTTGTTACAGCTCTCACAGTGACACGCTGCCTCTTCTGTTGTGCCAGCACAGCTGTCTCTGAAATTCATGCCATGAGCTAGACCGGGGAACTGCTTTTCGTGGTAACTAGGAGGGAAAAAAAATCAAATGGCATTCTGTTGCTGTTAGGTCATGAAACTTCAGGAAACTCCAGACAGCTCAGT